CCAGCCCTAGGGGCGAGCCAGGCTGTTGCGGGGATGAAGGCCCTTGGGTGACCCAGGCCCTAGGGGCAAGAAGGTTCTTCTGGGGATGAAGGCCCTTGGACGACCCAGGCCCTAGGGCAATCCAGGCTGTTGCGGGGAAGACTGGCCCTTGCGGTGAGCCGGGCCCTAGGGGCGAGCCAGCTGTTGCGGGTATGAAGGCCCTTGCGGCGACCCAGGCCCTAGTGGCAATGAAGGTTCTTGGGCGAGCCAGGCCCTTGCGACGACCCAGGCTGTTGCGGAGATGAAGGCCCTTGCGGTGACCCAGGCTGTTGCGGGTAAGAAGGCCCTTGGGTGACCCGGGCCCTAGGGGCAATGAAGGTTCTTGGGGTGAGCCAGGCTGTTGCGGGGAAGACGGCCCTTGCGGCAAGCTGGGCCCTAGGGCGAGCCAGGCTGTTGCGGGTAAGAAGGCCCTTGCGGTGACCCAGGCCCTAGAGGCAATGAGGTTCTTCTGGGGATGAAGGCCCTTGGGCGACCCAGGCCCTACGGGTGAGCCAGGCCCTTGGGGCGACCCAGGCCCTAGAGGCAATGAAGGTTCTTCTGGGGATGAAGGCCCTTGGGGCGACCCAGGCCCTACGGGTGAGCCAGGCTGTTGCGGGAAGACGGCCCTTGGGGCGACGAAGGCCCTAGAGGCAATGAAGGTTCTTGTGGTGAGCCGGGCTGTTGCTGGGAAGACGGCCCTTGCGGTGAGCCGGGCCCTATGGCGAGCCAGGCTGTTGCGGGATAAGGTCCTTGGGACGACCCAGGCCCTAGGGGCAATCCAGCTGTTGCGGGGAAGACGGCCCTTGCGGCGCCGGGTCCTAGGGGCGAGCCAGGCTGTTGGGGCGACCCAGGTCCAAGGGCAAAGAAGGTTCTTGTGGGGATGAAGGCCCTTGGGGCGAGCCAGGCTGTTGCGGGGAAGCTGGCCCTTGCGGTGAGCCGGGCCCTAGGGGCGAGCCAGGCTGTTGCGGGGAAGCTGGCCCTTGCGGTGAGCCGGGCCCTAGGGGCGAGCCAGGCTGTTGCGGGGAAGGTGGCCCTTGCGGTGAGCCGGCCCTAGGGCGACGGCTGTTGCGGGGAAGCTGGCCCTTGCGGAGCCGGGCCCTAGGGCGAGCCAGGCTGTTGCGGGGATGAAGGTCTTGGTACGACCCAGCCCTAGGGTGAGCCAGGCTGTTGCGGGGAAGACGGCCCTTGCGGTGAGCCAGGCCCTAGGGCGAGCCAGGCTGTTGCGGGATGAAGGTTCTTGGGACGACCCAGGCCCTAGGGGCGAGCCAGGCTGTTGCGGGATGAAGGTTCTTGGGACGACCCAGGCCCTAGGGCGAGCCAGGCTGTTGCGGGGATGAAGGTTCTTGGGACGACCCAGGCCCTAGGGGCAATCCAGGCTGTTGCGGGGAAACGCCCTTGCGGCGAGCCGGGTCCTAGGGCGAGCCAGGCTGTTGCGGGAAGGTTCTTGGACGACCCAGGCCCTACGGGTGAGCCAGGCTGTTGGGGCGACCCAGGTCCAAGGGGCAAAGAAGGTTCTTGTGGGGATGAAGGCCCTTGGGGCGAGCCAGGCTGTTGCGGGGAAGCTGGCCCTTGCGGTGAGCCGGGCCCTAGGCGAGCCAGGCTGTTGCGGGGAAGCTGGCCCTTGCGGTGAGCCGGGCCCTAGGGGCGAGCCAGGCTGTTGCGGGGAAGCTGGCCCTTGCGGTGAGCCGGGCCCTAGGGGCGAGCCAGGCTGTTGCGGGGATGAAGGTTCTTGGGACGACCCAGGCCCTAGGGGCAATCCAGGCTGTTGCGGGGAAGACAGCCCTTGCGGCGAGCCGGGTCCTAGGGGCAATCCAGGCTGTTGCGGGGAAGACGGCCCTTGCGGTGAGCCGGGCCCTAGGGGCGAGCCAGGCTGTTGCGGGGATGAAGGTTCTTGGGACGACCCAGGCCCTAGGGGCAATCCAGGCTGTTGCGGGAAGACGCCCTTGCGGCGACCGGGCCCTAGGGGCGAGCCAGGCTGTTGCGGGATGAAGGTTCTTGGACGACCCAGGCCCTAGGGTGAGCCGGCTGTTGCGGGATGAAGGTTCTTGGGACGACCCAGGCCCTAGGGGCAATCCAGGCTGTTGCGGGAAACGGCCCTTGCGGTGAGCCGGCCCTAGGGGCGAGCCAGGCTGTTGCGGGGATGAAGTTCTTGGGACGACCCAGGCCCTAGGGGCAATCCAGGCTGTTGCGGGGAAGACGGCCCTTGCGGCGAGCCGGGTCCTAGGGGCGAGCCAGGCTGTTGCGGGATGAAGGTTCTTGGGACGACCCAGGCCCTACGGGTGAGCCAGGCTGTTGGGGCGACCCAGGTCCAAGGGCAAAGAAGGTTCTTGTGGGGATGAAGGCCCTTGGGCGAGCCAGGCTGTTGCGGGGAAGCTGGCCCTTGCGGTGAGCCGGGCCCTAGGGCGAGCCAGGCTGTTGCGGGGATGAAGGTTCTTGGACGACCCAGGCCCTAGGGGCAATCCAGGCTGTTGCGGGAAGACGCCCTTGCGGCGAGCCGGTCCTAGGGGCGAGCCAGGCTGTTGCGGGGAAGACTGCCCTTGCGGCGAGCCGGGCCCTAGGGGCGAGCCAGGCTGTTGCGGGGATTAAGGTTCTTGGACGACCCAGGCCCTACGGGTGAGCCAGCTGTTGCGGGGAAGACGGCCCTTGCGGCGAGCCGGGCCCTAGGGGCAAAGAAGGTTCTTGTGGGGATGAAGGCCCTTGGGGTGAGCCAGGCTGTTGGGGCCCTTGGGGCAAGCCAGGCTGTTGCGGGAAGATGGCCCTTGCGGTGAGCCGGGCCCTAGGGCAGCCAGGCTGTTGCGGGGATGAAGGTTCTTGGGACGACCCAGGCCCTAGGGGCAATCCGGCTGTTGCGGGGAAGACGGCCCTTGCGGAGCCGGGTCCTAGGGCGAGCCAGGCTGTTGCGGGGGAAGGTTCTTGGGACGACCCAGGCCCTACGGGTGAGCCAGGCTGTTGGGGCGACCCAGGTCCAAGGGCAAAGAAGGTTCTGTGGGGATGAAGGCCCTTGGGGTGAGCCAGGCTGTTGGGGCCCTTGGGGCGAGCCAGCTGTTGGGGGGAGACGGCCCTTGCGGTGAGCCGGGCCCTAGGGTGAGCCAGGCTGTTGAGGGATGAAGGTTCTTGGACGACCCAGGCTGTTGGTGCGACCCAGGTCCAGGGGCAAAGAAGTTCTTGTGGGATGAAGGCCCTGGGTGAGCCAGGCTGCTGTTGGGCCCTTGGGGCAAGCCAGGCTGTTGCGGGGCGGCCCTTGCGGCGAGCCGGGCCCTAGGGCGCGCCAGGCTGTTGCGGGATGAAGGTTCTTGGGACGACCCAGGCCCTACGGTGAGCCAGGCTGTTGGGCGACCCAGGCCCCAGGGGCAAAGAAGGTTCTTGGGGTGAGCCAGGCTGTTGCAGGAATTGGCCCTTGCGGTGAGCCGGCCCTAGGCGAGCCAGGCTGTTGCGGGGATGAAGGCCCTTGGGGTGACCCAGGCCCTAGGGCGAGCCAGGCTGTTGCGGGGATGAAGGCCCTTGGGGTGACCCAGGCCCTAGGGCAAAGAAGGTTCTTCTGGGGATGAAGGCCCTTGGGACGACCCAGCCCTAGGGGCAATCCAGCTGTTGCGGGGAAGACGGCCCTTGCGGTGAGCCGGGCCCTAGGGGCGAGCCAGGCTGTGCTGGGTATGAAGGCCCTTGCGGCGACCCAGGCCCTAGTGGCAATGAAGTTCTTGGGGCGAGCCAGGCCCTTGCGACGACCCAGGCTGTTGCGGAGATGAAGGCCCTTGCGGTGACCCAGGCTGTTGCGGGTAAGAAGGCCCTTGGGTGACCCGGGCCCTAGGGCAATGAAGGTTCTTGGGGTGAGCCAGGCTGTTGCGGGGAAGACGGCCCTTGCGGCAAGCTGGGCCCTAGGGGCGAGCCAGGCTGTTGCGGGTAAGAAGGCCCTTGCGGTGACCCAGGCCCTAGAGGCAATGAAGGTTCTTCTGGGATGAAGGCCCTTGGGGCGACCCAGGCCCTACGGGTGAGCCAGGCCCTTGGGCGACCCAGGCCCTAGAGGCAATGAAGGTTCTTCTGGGGATGAAGGCCCTTGGGGCGACCCAGGCCCTACGGGTGAGCCAGGCTGTTGGGGAAGACGGCCCTTGGGGCGACGAAGGCCCTAGAGGCAATGAAGGTTCTTGTGTGGCCGGCTGTTGCTGGGAAGACGGCCCTTGCGGTGAGCCGGGCCCTAGGGCGAGCCAGGCTGTTGCGGGGATGAAGGTCCTTGGGACGACCCAGGCCCTAGGGGCAATCCAGCTGTTGCGGGGAAGACGGCCCTTGGGGCGACCCAGGCCCTACGGGTGAGCCAGGCAGTTGCGGGGATGAAGCCCTTGGTGGATCCAGGCCCTAGGGCAATGAAGGTTCTTGGGCGACCAGGCTTTTGCGGACATGCAGCCGTTGTGGCCGCGCTCGATTGGCTCAATGCGCTTAAATGTGGGATAGGATTGGCCACTGGAGCCAGGAAATACGCCTGGGTCAACCTTCAGGCGTCTCTCACAAGATGCGGTAGCACTTGTCTGATCAAACGCGTTGACGTACAACAACTGCAGGCTGTAGCGGTCACTCTGTAATACAAAGAGCTTTTTGAAGAAAGAACTCAATTCAAGACATGCAAAACTACACATTAAAAATATAGACTACAGAGCCAAGGCAATTACTTCAAAGTACATTTAAAGAAGCCTACCCGTTTCACATGGCACCCGTAAAGGGTACAGCCAAGGTGTAGTCAAAGGTTCACTTCATACCCAAGACTCTGGAGCATCCATAACAGACAGCAGGTCCTTTGAGCCTGATGAACGAAGTGAAGCCTAGTCAGTTTCAACATGCATTCAGCAAAATAAAGACATTTAAATAGGCAGCAAAGTCAAGTACATACCCACAACTTTAACTTCACTTAATGAACCTTTCAGCACAGTAATTTGAAAGCCAGCGTCACTGCAAACCACATCTAGCCCAGTCCGACGCCGACTGGTACCGCTGGTCTGGCTCCTTGAAGGGATATTGTCAAATTCCATCTGGAAACTACTATCAGTACCTCTGCGCCATGTTCTTGGACTAGAATCTACTGTGTCAATCTGGTCTCCATGGTTAGCAAATTGTAGAAGTTTCCACTGGCGGTGGCGCCTTCAACTTGAAGCAATGAATCCTCAAGACTGCATCTTCACCGCTGTCGTCCTCCCTGCGGTCATCTGGAGTGAGAGAGGCAATTGTTACCAATGTCACAGATTGCAGTCAAAGAGAATTCAGCCATTTCTGTCAAATCGATGTAGACAGCCCAGCCAAATAGTTTCTTCCAGTCTTTATGACTAAGCAGTTGCTAGAGTGGACAGAAACACAGACATCTCAGGTCATCCATGCTTGATATGATGGAAATACATAGGCTAAAACTAGGTACACGGCAATCTCCACTATCGCGGCTGCCATCTTTGTTCCGATAGACGTTAACTCTGGTTTTTCCCCCTAGGTGTCTTGCAGTGTTGAGAAATTACTCTTTTTGCAGAACTTCCAGTTCTGATTCATTACACCGCCAGAAGAACCATAGATACCTCCTCGTTTCAAGACTCCGTCTTTCCCGTTGAAATACTGGCATTGTGAGCGCGCCAAAGTTTGTCAGTCACAAAAAATCTCATTTTTTGCTGAAGTATAACATTTGTAAACAACTGTAATAGATATTTAGTTTAATTGCTAGCTACAAGTGAACAAAATTTCAATGAATTTGAACAACAACCTTGGGGGTTTTATTGCCCGCAAAATCTGCTTCAATTGACTAAGAACATAAGAAGCAGCCAGCAGAGTGTGCTATAGCCATGCCGTAGGGTCACACCTTTTGCTTTAACTTCAGGGGAAAACAAGACAAGTGTAAGGGACTACTTTTGGCTTTTAAATGACCAGTGTTGTGCAATTATTGAAGCAATAACCTGGTCTTGTTATCATTTTCAAGTATATTTCAAGCCCTTTCCAGCTGTACAATTTGTTTTAGCATTTGACCACGCTGCAAATTTTGTTCACATACCTACTACAATCATAAAGTCCATGACTTTGTAATGACAGCTACAAAGCGATGTCTGCATGTTACCATCCCTCATAAATGACATAGTGGTCCAGTTGTAGACGTATGCAAAGACGACATTTGCAAGAACCTGCTTTCAGTGACCACACGCTTATTATCGGTGCTGTGTCATTGGTGGTTGTTTACCTGGCGAGGGACGTTGAATTTTCTTGATCCGCGCCCATCCCTCTACTGAAACCAGCAGAGTCGCAGTCAGGACCAGCAGCAGCTCTACCCTGACGCCAGCCATGAATCAATGTGAAGGCCCTCCTGCAGTTGCTGAGCACCCAGACAAAGATATAGCCTCTTGAAACGGAGCGGGTGGCGGTTTGAAGTCAATTGAGTGCACCTGGTGACTACTGATTGGCACTCGCTACTCAACTAAAGTCACAGGTTTGGGAATGAAAACTGCCTGTTTACTAAAGGAAATGCCTATTTCATGTTTCTAAGATGTTACAGTTCTTTTAAAATAATCAACTGACCAACATTTAATGATGTAAATGTATGACATTATGTTACAAGTTACAGGCACACAGTCTGTGCAAATACTTTTTGAAATCTTTTCTTAAGTATAACTGGAATTTATCTTTCAGACAAACATTTTGAATACTGCAAGCATGTTCAGTTATTTTATTTTTCTAAATAACACCTTGGATATTGCTTGTTACACATTTAATCAACACAGGGTTTTTCTTTGGGTGCTGCATTACATTTGGAGGTGTCTCTAATATTGTCATTGTCTTCCTCATGTACAGTGTGTACATGTCATTGTTTAAAAAAATCATTGAAATAGATTAAATACTATATGAAACCATCTACTCTCCATCTCAAAAGTAGAATCACAGCTAAAACCATCTTACAAGCATCACACAAATACATTCTATCACAAAGATGTTGAATAGATTACACTTTACAGTTATACCTAATAAAGGTTGTCATTAACATTTAAATGCTTCATTTCACTGACGGATGGATGGATTTCACTGACTGAAATAATTAAACTCAGCTGGCTTTCATTTCAGTCTCCAAAAGAAAAGCTTCATGTAAACGGCTATGTTCAAATGTATTTCACAGAGCATTGCCGGACTTTTATCTTTTAAAGTTCTTCCATGATGATGGATCAGAAATCACACCTTTCAGCGTCTTTAACTAGAAGAAAATATAAAAATAAGACACCGAAATTTCTCGGGGGTGGCAAAAGAGTTTATTGCAAATATTTCAGTACAAGAACACAACACCCATATAGTCTACTACTGCACCACAAGTCAAATAAGCAGACTATTCAAAAGTCTTTATCATTTAAACATTAATGTCCTTTCTTGTAATCATATTCTCTAGAACCAAAACCTGGGTGTTTTTTTTAGTAGTGAAGTAGAAATTCCCTTGTAGGCGTTGGCCTTATATTTGACTTTGTATGTAAACGCACCGCCCCAAACGATTGCTTCACTTTTGGTCTGAAAGCACCATAATAGCAATGCGCCAAAGTACATGCGCACCTGGCTTTAAAGGGAATGGGAAATGATAACGATGCCCATTTGACCAACTATAGTGTATTAATGATTATTGACAAATATATATTGAATTTAGGCTACCTCTCCTCCACTCTGTAGGGCAATCGCCTGCAGGACTTAAAAACAAGGCAAAAACATAAAGGTGCGCAATGTGTTTCAGCGCCGTCAGGTAACGTGATAAAGTGCTGTCCCGTTCACAGCATTTTGAGCCAGTGACGTCAGTAAAGTCTGAGGGTTCAGGGCTTGGGCCTTGGACTCTAGCTCAAAGACTTGTGAGCATGTCTGACACACAGAGATCCCCCCCCCCCCCCCTCAGTCACTTCATCCTGGCGCCAGGCCTGAAACCAGGAAATATTTTCCATCAAATAGATCCAGTTTCAGCAAAATCAGTGAATAAAGTTGTGCTTTTATGAAGTAAGCAGTGGTATTTTTTGTTATTGATGGACCATCCTGCCATGTCACCTACATGCCCAGTGCAGCATCTCATTATTTAACCAATTCCTCTGGTTGTGCACCACAGACAATCTACATAAAAACTAAAAATCACATTTACACTGCAAGCTCAAGAGCAGCGATACAGCTGAAAAGTAAATTTCTGCTCTATGTAAAAAATTATGACCATTAGCTACTAAGGGGTCAAAAATGCATGCCAGAACTGAAGACACCGTCTTACGGTTTACAAATGTCATCATCTTTGTTTTAATACAGACACATTTAGATATGAACATAGTAATGGTTTCTTTTGTCCAGCTTTCTGCCCTCATTTTTAAGCTGTATCTCTGTTTCTTTCATAATTCTCAGAATGTCATTTTGTGCAGTCTCTTCAACAAAGTCCAACCACTAATAAAACTTGATCAGTACTCGTATTTTCCCTTGTCATGTTACCTTTATATAGCACACCATTCACAACCCAATATCATCCAAGTACTTTTCAACTGGGAGGATGTAGTTTTGGTGTTGAAGTACTGCATTATTCTGAGCGTTTCCGTTGATCCTCTAGGGATATTTGCATTCTCATTTTCCCTCTTTATCTACAATATACAGTGGATAGATTCCTCTGCTCAAAGGCTGAAGATCACCACCAACAGTATCCTTGTAAGAACAGTGTCACCGTTTCACCCCCCACACAAGTCATTTACAGACTTACAAGTCTACATTAACAAAAACCACAAGACCTGGTTTACCGTGTTATAAATGCGATTTATTCCCCCCCCCCCTCCTTAAGTCTTCTGCAGCATCCTTATGGTGCCTAGAAGAAAAGAAATTGATTAGACTTAAATACACTGAGCTGATAGGACATTGGCATAGTTTACAGACTCACCTTTCCATCAAAGCACCGTTGTTCACATGGCCTATCTGCTGGTAAACACACTTCTGTAGAGCACATGAAATAGATCTACAGGGGAAAAACAAAACACACCATTCACCATGGCAGAAAAAGTGTATACATCCCATATGCGTTTTCCACAGAATGACAGCACTGTTGCCTCTAAAGTACAAAATCTCAAGTGGAGGCAATTCAGTTTGGAGCGACACTTGAAAGCTAGACAATATTACATTGACATATTTGGTAAATTTCATTTCCGCTTTGCAATCATAATAGCGGGATAGAATAATCACCACATTACTGTGTCAGGGCAGTGTACACGCATAGCTTGACCATTTAGACCCATAACGGCTTCCTGATTATCACTTCTTCATCAGGTATTTGTTTGTCTTTTGAACCATAACTGGAAGGCTTCAACCACAACCGCCTCTGATGACGATTTTTGCAGTCAATGATTTTAAGGAGGGACACATTTGGAGCATAAAG